TGTTGCCGTGTACGGTTTCTATCTGGGATACAACATATTTATTTACCAAATATCTTTTATGAATTTTCCAAATTAAATTTTCATTGAATTTTTATAAGAAAATTCATTAGTTTACACGGAATGTTGATATTCGTGTAACATACTAACCAAAAAAATTTTTACAAACGAAAAATTAAACCTGGGTTGGGATTGAGCAAGGTACAGTTTATACCAAAATTTCGCAGGGAATTTTTTAATTAGAAGCCAAAATATGGTTTCATAATCAAAATTGAGATATATATATATTGCCTGTGTACATACACCCGTGTACAAATTGAAATTGCCTTTCTATAAATATATACGTAAATAGAAAATTTCTTATCATACATAGTAAATGAACACTAGTAATCTGTGTAATATAAATTCAAGAAACAGAATTTAATTTGATTAATGTTAGATTAAGGTTAAGGTTTAGGGTTTGGGTTAGCATGTAGTTTATACTAAAATTTCACGAAGATTTTTTTTGTTAGAGCTGCTTTTATTAGTAAAATTTTATGTTATCCAGTCATCCCTCCATAAAATGCCCTCACATATAAACGCACCATATGTAATCACATTTATGTTTAGGCCAAACTATGATTTAATTTATAAGAAACAGACCTCCATATAAGCACAACCCTATATAAGCACATTTTGAAAAAAGGTTACTATGTGCCTAACTGTGTGATTGTATGGGAGGACGACTGTATATATAACTGTGTTTCATACACTGATGTACGAATAGAAATCATCATATAATTATTTTACTCGGTTTAGTCTTTTCGATTTTTTAAATAAAATATTTAGCATTTAAGCATTTTATATGGCTGGATCTTCTGTTGATAGACGTCTCCTCAATGCTAGCAGTGATGGTGGTGTACGAATAGCTAACGGTAATGGTGATGAAAAAAAAGTTCTAGGAATGCTATCAGGAGCAGGGTATAACATTAATCAAATTATAGGATCTGGTTTGTCTTAAATTTTGTTGCTATTAATTTAGAGATTTCTATTTCCATACATTTTTTTAATAATGCCACACCCTGCTAAGAATTCTAATTTCTAACAAAACTCGAATGATATATGTTAAAGGATGTGGCATGATCGAAAAGGGTGAGGAAATATCAATTTACTTAATTTATATTAATAATAATTATTATTTAAATTAGGAATTTTTCAAAACTCTGGTTCTATATGGTGGCAAATTCAGTCACCGGGCATTGCTTTAGTGCTTTGGGTTGTTGGTGGTTTTATTAGTTTACTT